TCCTAATTTTGATCTTTTATCAGCATGTACACTCTTCTATATAAATTCTTTATCCATCAAGCCTGGAACAAAGTCTCTTCCGAATAATTAACAGAGCGGCATCCCATGAATATGCCTGAGCGGATGACGCAGATGCATCTGGAGGACGGATGCCTTTCATTTCTTTTAGTGACTTGATGGACTCCAGTAGAGAGTCCTGACCTGTTGCTGAGCTAGTGTTCACCGATGTGTGACTTTTAGTGTGCTGTAATTTCATCTATTAGGTTGGCATGACATAAATCTTCATCGCTGTCACTGTAATTAATAATTATGGCTTTTCGCTCAGGGGACTTAACAGAGGTTTGTTGCTCCCCTCCTACTGCTCATACAGCTCTTACATTTTAAATTTCACTCAGTTAAGTTGGACTAGTCTATGTGCATTTGTTTTGGTTAAAAATATATTTGTATATTTATAATCTATTTAACCCTAGCAACAAAATAGCGATTAGAACTCATTGCAACTGCAAAGCAACACCCTGGCAACCATCCTAGCGTCATTCCAGTGATCATTGTTTTTGCTTATAAAATGCAAAAAATCTAGTTTTAGTGATTATGTTTCTCTTTTCATCACTTGACCTTCCTCTGTGAAGCAGCATTTGATGCTTATCAACAGGGTGATAAATTTGAGGATGGCAGCGATAGACAGAGGATGCAGCTCTGAGAAGGGCTGTGGGTAAGTCTTTCAAAGATAAGAGCTTATTGTGTGATTTGTCAGCGCGATCCCTGGTGCTGCGGCTGTGCGGATTGTACAGTGACACAGGGACGATCAGTCACTGTTTTACAGTGTGAACTCTGATGATTAATTCAGTTGTCATGCAGTGATGCAGTCGGTGCGTCTTATGAAGGCCTGTAACTCTGTTCCAAAACCTGGTGAGCTGTCAATCTAGACAGTGTTTTAAGAAAACATATGGAGGCTTTTTGGGCTTTAACTAACACATAGTGAAGAATTTCTTTGGATCGCAATTGTTGTTTTTTTACTACTGTTCAAAAGTTTAACGGTTTTGAAAGAGTTCTCTTATGCTCATCAAGGATGCATTTATTTGATAAAAAATGCAGAAATATTCTGAAATATTTTTTCCAATTTTAAATATATGTTTTATATTTGAATATGTTTTAAAAATGTAATTTATTGCTGTGATCAAAGTTGAATTTCCAGCATCATTACTCCAGTCTTCAGTGTCACATGAAATCATTATAATATGCGGATTTGCTGCTCAAGACACATTTCTGATTATTATCAATGTTGAAAACAGTTGTGCTGCTTGTTATTTTTCTGGAAATCATGATTTTTAAAGATTCTTTGCTGAATAGAAAGTTCAAAAGAACAGCATTTATTTGAATTGAAATTGCGCAAACTGTCCTGAATGGCAAAACAGACATTTAACATCATGTCAACGGTATCTTAACTGAGAAAGTCCTCATTAAACCCTCACATTTATAGCAGAAATGGTCTGAAATATATATTTCAAGGGAAGATAGATGATATGGAGAGAGGTTTTGGTATTGTGGATGTGATAAAATCGTAATGTCAGAGTTCAGTAAGACTGATTTGATGTCACAGATTTGTACCTTTTAGGTCCGTATAATGCCCTATAAACCCAAACCCAGAGTCCAATCCAGGCGTGTGGATGTGGAGCTGTCCATGGTGCTGAATCCAGCCAGGCAGCAGCAATATCAGTCAGTCCTGCCTGGCGCTGTCCAGGGTCCTGATTTATCCCTTTCATTACAAGCTGAGGCGGATTATCAGGAGATTTAGGCGAGCATCTCACTGTCCCACTACGCTAAGATGAAAGGCATCCGTCCTCCAGATGCATCCGCGTCATCCGCTCAGGCATATTCATGGGATGCCGCTCTGTTAATTATTCGCAAGAGACTTTGTTCCAGTTGAAATTGCGCAAACTGTCCTGAATGGCAAAACAGACATTTAACATCATGTCAACGGTATCTTAACTGAGAAAGTCCTCATTAAACCCTCACATTTATAGCAGAAATGGTCTGAAATATATATTTCAAGGGAAGATAGATGATATGGAGAGAGGTTTTGGTATTGTGGATGTGATAAAATCGTAATGTCAGAGTTCAGTAAGACTGATTTGATGTCTTTGTTTAGGTCCCTCTGGGTCCAAATGTCTGTCTTTTTATCTGTATTGTCCTCACTCGCTCTGATTCTCTTCATCGAGAGGTTAATGACTGTCCACTTTCTCTTTTGTCTCTCTCTCATTCTCACGCTGCAGTGTTTTATGTCGCTGAAGGTCTTTAATAATGTTTAGTTAAGGCCATGAGCGGCCTCTGTTTCAGCAGAGATTCTCCTAATGCGTCACAGGAGACAGGAGGTGTTTAATAAGCAATGAACCGCTTAAACTGTATGAATGTCACTGCGTTAGATATAAAGCACTTCCAGTTTGTTTGTGGTTGATTCTCTTCACCTGTGGTTCCTCTGCTGTGACCTGACACTAAATCATTAGCTGATTAACAGAAGAAATGAGAGAAACAGTCCTGCAGCATTCGTTTGACATTTTCTATATATTGCAGACAGTTACATTCTGACATTTTTATAGTGTCAAAATATGTTTTGGGGCTTCTGTAGTGAGTGTCTAAATGTGATTGATGAATGAATGATGTGATTAGTTTCAGCAACAGGACGGCACACTCTCACATACTCCACATGTCAAATGGCTAATGGCTTTGAAAGGAAAAAAGTATTTTAATTAAAAACGAGCCCTACAGTAAAGGTGATAGTAATGAATACTAATTCAGAGGTAATTGTGTCAACCTTAAAACATTTAATACAATTCTAATAGAAACTGTAGATATTTGTCGTTTTGTTAAGAAGCCTGTGGACAGACTGGCCACTGTAATGTGAGTAATTTAAATTTATTTTATTTTATTTATTTTCAAAACCTGCAGAAAACTGGAGCACATTTCTGCACTAAATTCTCATGAATGTTATGTGACAAAAGCATCATTACTGTAATTACACATTGATACATTTATCCGTATGATGTATGATCCATAGATTTTTTTTTTATTCTAGTGGAAATTGTAGATTTTTGTCATTTTGTGAAGAAGCTTATGGACAGACTGGCCACTGTAATGTGAGAAATGTTGTTTTGTTTTGTTTTTTTCACCCCAAAATCAAAAAAAAGCAGCACATTTCTGCACTAAATTCTCATTGTTATGTGACAAAAATATCATTACTGTAATTATACAATGCTATATTTATCCATATGTTACATTATTTAAATTGT